TTTTTATATTGTTACCTATTTCTTCCCTTCAGTTCTGTCAATGTTTGCTTCATATATCTGGGTGCACTGTTGTTGGGTGCTTATAGATAGTCCCCATGGTTCAACTTGCATTTTTTTTGACATTATGATGGTGCAAAAGTGATACTCATTCAGTAGAAACTGTACTTTGAGTAGCCATAAAATCATTGCTTTTTACCTTCTCTACAGTATTCAATAAATTACATGAGATATTCGATACTATATTCTAAAACAGGTTTTGTGTTAGATGATTTTGCCAGACTCTAGGCTAATGTAAGTGTTCTGAGCATGTTTAAGGTAGGCTAGGCTAAATTATGATGTTCAATAGGTGTATTAAATGTATTTTTGACATATTTTCAACTTATGATGCGTTTATCAGGAATCTTAAGTTGAGGAACATCTGTACAATTGTAATTGTTGTATCTTTCTGGTGAACTGATCCTTTTAACATTATATAATGTCCTTCTTTGTCTCAGTTTTTGACTTAAGTCTATTTTTGTGTTAGTATAGTCACTCTACTCTTTTTTAGCTGCCATTTGCATGGAGTACCTTTTACTATCCTTTCACTTTCCGCTTATATGTATCTTTAAATCTAGGAGAAGTCTCTTGTAGACAGCATATAGTTGGATCTCTATTTTTAACACTTTCAGCCATTTTATGTCTTTTGATTGGGGAGTTTACTCCATTTAGTAATTACTGATAGGGAAGAACTTACTATTGCCTTTTCATTGCTGTTTTTCTTGTAGATTTTTTTGTCTCTCTTTTCCTCTCTTGCTGTTCTTATGCTTTGATTTTTTTTTTTTTTGTAGTGCCATGCTTTGATTCCTCTCTCATTTTCTCTTGTGTATTCTCCATAGATATACTCTTTGTGATTGCCATGGGGCTTACATAAAACATCTTATATTTATAATATTCTATTTTAAGCTGAAAACTTTAATTGCAGGCACTATTTTTTACATCTCATTTTGCACTTCACACTTGATGTCACAAATCACATTTTTAATATATGTGTATCATTAATATATTTTGTAGTTACTTTGTATACTTTCATCTTTTGAACTCTACACCAGAGTCAAAAATGACTTATACATGACCATTACAATATGACAGAATTCTGTATTTGTCTACATTTAATTACCAACTGGCTGTATAATTCCACATGCTTTCATGTTGCTATCTACATTTTTGTTTCAACGCGAAGGGCATGCTTTAGCATTTCTTGCAAGGCAGGTTAAGTGATGAAGAACTCTTTCAGTTTCTGTTGCTCTGAGAATGTAATAATTTTTCCTTCACTTTTGAAGTTTTGACAAACATAGCATTCTTGATTGGCAGCTCCCCTGCCCCCATCTCCCTTCCTTCAAAACTTTGAATAAACCACTCCACTCCCTTCTAGTCTGTAAAGTTTTTACCAAAAAATATGATAATAATCTTAAGGGAACTCCTCCATTCTGAAAGGTCATTTTTCTCTCACTTTCAAAATTCTGTCTTGGACTTCTGAAAACTTAATCATGTGTCTTAGCATAGTCATCTTTGGGTTCACCCAGTTGGGCTCTGTTGCATTTGAATCTAAATGTCCATTTCCATTCCCAGATTTGGGGAGTTTATGGCCATGATTTCTTCAAATTATCTTTCTGTCCCTTCTCTCATCTCCTTCTGACACTACCATAATGTGAATATTGGTGTGAATGATAATGTCCGATAAATCCCTTAAGGCATTTTTTTGCTCCTCTGACTGGAAATCTCAAATGACTTCTCTTTGAGTTTGCTGATTCTTCTGCTCAGTCAAGTCTGCTGCTGAATCCCTCCTGTGAGTTTTTCAATTCAGTTATTATATTCTTCAACTCCAAAATGTGGTTCTTTTAAATCTTTTTTTTTTTTTTTTAAATACAGGGTTTCATTTTGTTGCCCAGGCTGGAGTGCCAGTGGCACAATCACAGCTTACCACAGCCTTGAACTTCTGGACTCAAGTGATCAACCTGCCTCAGTCTCCCAAGTAGCTGGGACTGTAAGTGCCTGCCATATCACACCTGGCTAATTTTTCTGTTTCGTAGAGACAAGGTTTTGCTTTGTTGCCCAAGTTGGTTTTGAATTCCTGGAAGTATTTTTTATCTCTTTGTTGACGGTCTCATTTTGTTCATGCATCATTTCCTAAGCTCAATGAACATTTTTGTGAAGCTTGTTTTGGATTTTTTTGGTCAGGTAATTAATCCACTTCTTTAGGGTCAGTTTCAGGAAATTTATTTCATTCCCTTCATTGGATCATGTTTTCCTCTTTCTTTGGGTGCCTTGCTACTTAGTGTTGGTACTTGCACATTTGAAAAAAAATCCACCTTTTCCAGTTTTACAGACTGGCTTTGTATAGGGAAATAACTTTACCAATCAGCGTAAGAGATTCTGGGGGACTCTTGAACCTTTTCTGTGGATGCCTGGTCTCTAAACTAGTGCCATGTAAGTTCCTAATTAGAGAGGTTTTGCAGGTCCCCTCTTTCCCCAGGAGCTCATAACCTCTTGCTTCTTCTAGAATCTGTCTGAAGTATTGCAGGCTCTCTGGAGATGATGTAAGTCGCTCACCTCTTTTTTTGGTCTTAGCAGCTCCCCTTCCAGGCATACAGAGTATGCTAAATCTCATCGGCAGTCTGAGCTAGGTGAGACAGATAGCTCCTTGAGAAGCTCAAACACTGGACACACGCTACACTCTACCCTTCTCCCCAACCAAGGAAAAGCTTTTGAGGTATACCGAGCTTTGACTACTGTGGGTCCTCTGGAGCAGCACAAAGCACCCAGCTCTCTTGTTCTTGGTGCCTCTGGGAACTCAGATCACGCCAGGTTCCCTCAACATTCTGACGGGTGAGAGAGAAACCAAGTGGGGTGGGTAGGGTTCTTGAACACCTAGAATGCTGGACTCATGCTCCAACTCTTTCCCTCCCCAGGGAGAATGAGGGAGTTTTCTGCCACTCATTCTGTACTGAACTTGGGGAGGGCAATGGGGGTTAGCACATGCTAGCTCCACCATCACATTTGTTCTCAGTGGCTCCTAATCTGGCACCCTTTCTGGTCAGACAAGACCAAAACTAGCTCCTTGGGTAGACCTCTGAAGAGACTGCATGTTAGATATATGTTCTAGTCTTCTTTTTCCTTTCCCAGGGAGAAGCTAGGAGTTGGGCATTTCCTCCCAATCACATTGTGCAGTGCTGGGGGGAAGAGCTCTGAAGACTGAGTGTCACAAATTCTCCTACTGGTTTTGACACAACTAGTTTTATGCTCACACATAAAGTACAGAAGGGTACAGAAATCTCTTAACTGCCTTCTGGATTTCTCATAAAGAGAAATTGTCCATATACTGTCATGGAATCGGTGTCTCCACGGGAGAAGGCAAATCTGGGGCTTCCTATTATGACATCTTGCTGACATCATCCCAAAACATATGCCTTTATGGCTTCTTCTGCAAGTGACCTACTCACTCACATTCACATTTCATTGGCCAAAAGAAGTTACATCGACACCTCCAAGTTCAGCATGGCATGCAAATCCCTCACACACACAGAAAGCAGAATATTTGGTGTTCTTGCTCAAGACCTTAAGTCTCTTAAGGCTTAAGAGTATCTGGGAAGCTCCCACTAATGTTCCAAGTCAATGTTATCATGACACTCACTGGATGCTGCTTTACACTCACATATGCCCTTAGGTTGCTATTAAATATCTTTGAAGAATAACAGCCTCTCCTCCTTGGCCTTCCAAATATATGCACTTTTACTGTCAGACTTTATTTGAAACCATACCAGGAAATGTAGTTCCCAGCTCCCTCTTAGCAATCCAGAAGAGGTGGCAGTGATGTACATTTCTCACCTGGACTACTCAATAGCCGAACAGATCTTCCTAATATTCTACCTCTCTCCCCACCACAGAATGATGCTCAAGAACCTGCATAATCCTACCCTTACCCAGCTTATGAGTCTCCTTCACACTCCTAGTAAGTGTCCAGGTAGCTGCTGCTCCTTGGGCCTAGAATATTCCTCCATACCTATTCCATTCTCTACCCTTCCCCTCCTGTGGCTACTTCCTCCTTACTCTCTGTGTCTTAGCTCAGGCATCACCTTCCCAGGCATTCCGTGGCCTGTCACACTGGAAGCACACAAGGGACAGTCAGTTACTCTCTTTTCTTAGTTCTAAGATGCCAGAGACTGGGACAACTGTCATAGCCGCAGCCTAGGGTGCAAACAATTATTAAATGGCCACATCATTTTTGAGAATACCTCTAGATTTCACATCGAAATATTAATGCCGACAATAAAAGGAATACAATTTTGGTCCATTTATTTGATTTCTTTTTTTTTCTCTAATCCTTGATTTCTTCACTTTCCTCAAGGCAGAGATACTGCAGCACTCAATTCTACAATCAGTCAGTTTTAGAGAAATGGCTTAAAACATCTTTGTCTAGGCGGATGCTAATATTCACTATAAAGTCTAAGTGGCTTATAAATAGCTGATAAAATTTAAGGCATTCTTAGTTCACAGAGTAGGAGCCTAGATAAAGTGAAGGAAGATTTGCATCAGTGGGTGTCTAGCTATGAGATGGCACCGAGAGAGACAGAAAGAGAGAGAGAGAGAGAGAGAGAGAGAGAGAGAGAGAGAGAGAGAGAGAGAGAGAGAGAGAGAGAGAGAGAGAGAGCCGCACAAGAAAAACGCTGACAAGTGGGAGAAAAACAAACAAAAATCTTTCACATTTTACATGACAGCATCTGTCCTTATAAGAAGATGACATAAAACAGGAATACAGAGCTCTGTAACTGGAATTCTGCAAGCGGTCCCCATCTCTGTAACCATGTCAACCGCCATATTGCTCTTCATTTACTTTTATGAAAAGGAAGGTATTCAAATCCTTCTAATGCATCTGCACGTAGGTAAACAGCAGATATCTGGGCTAGTGTAACCCATTAATACAGTGATTCAAATAGATATCTAGAAAAAATGTGCCTGCCTACCTTTCGGCAGCGAGGATTAGGACAACTGAACCTCTTCACATCACTGTCCAACAGAGCAGGAAAGCTACAGGAGGGGCACCTAGAGTTAAAACAGCAGAAGCAGTATTACTTGAAATTTTAAGATCTGATTTGGTTCCATGTGACTATTCATACTAAGATGGAATTTTGAGTTGGAGATTCACATAGTTCTTCTTTTTTAACTCTTTGGTTTTCATTAAAACAGAGATTGAGCCTCATCTTTGCATTAGCTATTACAAAGAAACACAGGCATCATTCTACCCCCCTGAACTCAGTATAAAGCACTCAATAAACATATCCTAACCTTAATGAGAACTCTTTGTACACGCCAATTTTCTTTCAATGGCACAATGACCGTACCTATGGGCTAGAAAATTAGGAGGTAGCAACGGAATATAAGTAAAAATTTGAGCTGCAGATTTTTCCACTAATAAAATTAACTATCTTCTTTCCCAGCAAGAAATGCCAAAAACTCTGGAAGACAGAGCTTTGTTACAAAATTTTCACCATCTGATCAAAGTGCTCAGGCAATCTTCACAACGGGGAATGATTTGACAGATGACACCCTCTGATTCTGGGAACTAACCTGACAAGCTCATCAGCATAGGCTGCAGCAACTTCTTCCTCCGCTTTTCGCTCGTAGTATTTATATAGGATGGTCTGAGGAAGTACCTTCTCCAGTTCACTGGTTGGGAATGAACATGTGCAGCTGCCTTCCATGCAGCTAAGCTCTGACTAGAATGATAAGGTAAGCAGGCAAAGAAAAGAGAGAAGAAAATTCAACCAAGTTTATAAAAAACAAAAAGTCACAGTGGTTATTAAATGCATCTTTCAATGGGAGGCAAATAAATAGTGGTTATAAACACAGATTCTGTGACTGCAGAGTGAAGATTTTTCTGCCTCCTCTTCTCTGAGAAATCACACTTAAGAAAACTATGAAACAAAAACATAAAGGCCATCTTTGATATCACTAGAGGAACTTCTAAGCCCAAATTATAATCCATGAAGAAGTAAAGTGAATGGAGGAAGGGTAAATGGCTTAGCAGACTAGAGAAAAAGGCCACAGCTCAGTGTCTGAAGAGGAGATGCTTATGAGAAGCAAGTTGTTTCACTCTGCAAATACTGGAAAGCTGAAGAGGCCCTGGAAGGTGAAGTTGAGTGGTGAGAAGGGAGTAGGAACTGACAGAAATAAACTGAAAACAGGGAGCTTGTTTGAGCCTCTAGATCCTATACCTTTCAGAAGGAATCGGGAAGCTCTGAAAGAAAGGAGGAAGGTCTCATGAACAGCTGGACCAAAAGGCTCTGGTCTGGTAACCAGTCACAAGAAGGCAAAGCTGAGGTGTGGCCTGATCGGGGCTTAAAAATGAAGTTTGCATAATAAACAGGGAATTCTCCAGCTCCTTTCTCCCACTCGGCTCCAGAATACAAGGGGATCCCCCCAAAATCAGAATTATCTTTTGGAGGGGAGGCCCCTTGTAGAACACTTGGAATTTGTTTCTCTGCATCAAACAGTCAACCTAAGTTTTAATCTGGTTTTGAGAAGGCTGTATCATGATTTGTGGAAGAAACGTCCTAAGTTGTGGCAAAGAGGCGATAGGTTCTTCCACCATGACAACACACCTCCCCACACTGCACTGAGTGTTCAGCAGTTTCTGAACGAAAACGGCATGACCCCTGTGCCCCGCCCTCCCTGCTCACTCTATCTTGCCCGGAACGATTCTTTTTTGTCCCCCAGATGAAAAGAAGTCCTCAATGGGAAACGTTCTGCCAAAGCAGGAAGAGGTGAAACAAAAAGGAAGAAGCACTAAAAGGCACAGAAATGGACAAATTCATAAACCGTTTTGAGTAGTGGAAAAAGTGTCTTGATAGGTATACTGCACCAAACGGAGAGTACTCTGAAGGGGACTGAAATTTAAAGATGTAAGAATATGTAATTATTAATAAATAAATTCAAGGATTTTGGGGTCCCTCTCTTGTATTGGAAGATGGCCTCCTACACACACACTAGACATGAGGTAGACGGAATCACTTCATGAATGAGACCTAAAATAGTGTCACTTTGAGTTCGTAACACAAAAGCTAACTGGCTACACAGGTACCTAGAGTCTAACTCACCAGTCTCTCGTAAGTCCTACTACTCACACAGCTTCCAAACAGCTCTTTAATATGAACAAAGAATGTCAGACATCTAAGAACACACTCAACATGAAAGACACCAAAGAAAACAAATGAAAAAAGACAACATCTTAAAAATAACAATAGCGCTGAGGTGGAAGGATCGCTGGAGCCCAGCAGGTGGAGGCTGAGGTGGCCAGGAGCGACCATGGCACTCCAGTCTGGGCGACAGAGTGAGACTCCCAACTCAAAAAAAAAAAAAAAATAATAACAATAGCTAAAACTTATGAAGATTTACCATTTGTCAAACAGTAAGTTCTTTAAATTCATTATCACATTTAATTTTCGCAACAATCCTATGATTTGCATTTTACAGAAAAAGAAACTTATTTGCTCAAGGACACAGCACCCATTGCATTCTGACTGACTTCCAAGGTCAAGTTCTTCTAAAAAATAAAACCTTATAAAAAGTTGCAAAAACAGTACAGAGTTCCTGTATCCTCCTCACCTAGCTTCCCTTAATGTTAACATCTTGGGTTACCATAGCTTATTTAATCAAAACCAGGAAGGTAACAATGATGCAATACTATTCATTAAACCACAGTCTTAATGTCACCAGACTTTCCACTAATGTCCTTTGTTCTGGACCAGGATTACCAGATGGCATCTAGACATAATGCCTCTTTAGTTTCTTTCCAATCTGTGAGTTTCTCATTATTTCTTGGTCTTTCACAATTTTGGTACTTTTGGAAAGTATTGGCCAGTAATTTGGTAAGAGTGTTTCTCAATTTGGATTTTTTCATTAGACTGAAGTTACTGATGTGTCTTATGGCCATGTTAAAAGACCACATTCCTAATCACTGTAGCCGAAACAAATACTACAAACTTAGTGGTGTAGAACAATATAAAACTCCTTTACACATTGTGTTTGTTATGTAAGTATCCAGAGAAATGAACTTTGGACAGAGAAATATGACCTTGTGTAAGATAGTTCATTGTAATATACATTTAATCCAACTATAATATCCTTTAAACATTTTGTAAAAAAAAAAAATAATAATGTACTCTCATACAAACAGGCTGCAAGGTTCTCTATTCCTGAGTTCATCCTTCATTTTGCTTATGAGTAAAAAAGTAAGTCTGGGAGGCTAGGCATGAGGACCTGGAAGAATTCTACCATTCCCTGAAAAGAATCTGTTGTGCTTAGAACCAACATAATCACACAAATCAAGTAAGCACATGTTAGCATATCAGCAGAATTCTACCTTGCCCCAGAAAAGGCACTTCCACGAGGCACTTATACCTATCAGTGTGGTCTCCTCAGACTCTGTGAATGTTTCCTATGTATAAGCATATTACATAGTTCTTACCTTTCCAGATCCGAAGACTGCTTCTTGGGCATACCTGATGAGACACTCTTTGCAGAACAAGTGAGCATCTGCACATTGTGTCAGCTCCTCGAATGGGAATTCCCCATAGCAGCAGCGGCACTCAATCAGTTGGCCATCCTGCAGGCCACCAGAGACACACATGAGACGTCCTACACTCAAGCAGAGGGGGAGCCTCGTGTTGCATCCTTACACACTCCTCCAACACACATTCTGAGATAAAAAAGCAACCCCCTGGGGCCATACAACAACAATACACTGCTTTCTGCTATAAAAATCCAACTATAGATGCCAGCAAAATATTAATCCATAGCTAAAGATAGTAAGATTTTCATGTTTTCTGTTACTCTTTGGAGTAATTCTTTGTATGAAGTTATCATATTCAATTCCATGGTGCGAAGGGAGCTATAATATCTCTACTCAGATGTCAACATGATTATAAAAAGCAGAGATAAGTGGCATGAGAGATGTTATTCAAAGTTTTCAAAAGATGAATTTTGTTCTTCTTGTCATAGAGTGTGAGGGGGGTCACATTCCTCCCAGCCTAAGCTTTACCTTAAGGGACTACTGAAGAGAACTGAAGCAGCAATCACAAGTAATGTACCAGGATACTCACTCCATTTATTAACTGCAGTGATTGATCCAAATCACAAATCCATTCTAATATACGTTTTAAAGTAAGGAAGGCAACACACAGAAACTCATCCTGCCCCAAGGCTACACATCTTTCTTTGAAATTTAAAGCACCATCTACCTTCTTCTCTAAGAGTCTATCTGACGGATTGCATGCAATTTTTTTTTTAAACAGTAGTACCTATTATTATCTGCCCTTCAATTCTGGTTCTGTCTGATATTGTGACTATATCTGTTCATGTATCTGACTGTAACTTGGCTAAAAAGCAAACCCAGCAGATCAAAGAGTGGTTATACAAAAACAAATGTGCCATCAAAACGCTGAGGAAATGTGGTAAGAGAAAAACGCCCAAGAAGATACCCAGAATAAATAAGGCAAGATTTTAAACTACCTTTTGATACTGTTCTTCGTTCATCTGCAGGGCAAGCAAAAAGTCTTCATGCTGAGGAACAAAAAACATACATTCAGACATAAATTTAGTAAAAATGATGCTAACCATTTAGTATGTATTTCCATAAACATAACTGTATCGTTATTATTATTATTATTACTTTGTTTGTTGGTTGAGTTGGAGTCTCACTCCATCACCCAGCCTGGAGTGCAGTGGCATGCTCCCAGCCACCGCAGCCTCGACCTGCTGGGCTCCGCAATCCTTCCGCCTCAGTCTTCCAAGTAGCCAGAACTATGGGCGTGCACTACCACGCCCAGCTAACTTTGGATTTATTGTAGAGATGAGGTCTCACCAAGTTGCCCGGGTCGGTCTCGGACCCGCAGGCTCAGGCAATCCACTCACCTCGGCCTCCCAAAGCGCTGGGATTACAGGCTGAGCTACCGAGCCCAGCCATAACTGTATTATTAATAGTCATCTCTTTACTTACACAGTTTAGTAGTTTAAAAAGTTACCTGTGACAATCTAAAATGAGCTAGAAAATATGAGAAAAATTTTCTTAACTCTGACTCAAAATGTAGGCTGAGTAAGGAAAAAGACTGACACATAAGACACTTGAACAGCAAAAAAATAACTTAAGCAAGCAAAAAAATGAAGAAGTAAAAACCAAGTTTGACAAGAGATTTCATGGGTGAGCTTGGTTGCTTGGTGGGCAAGCTCACTCCTGCATATTACTTGTGAGAATCCAAAGCAGGACAACCACAATGGGTGAGGGAATCTGACTTGGATTCAATAATGCCACTTCTAGGAGTCTAGTCCAAAGATGGCCTGGGGTAGAAATATGAAATGATGTATGCACCAACTTATCTATCATGCAATGATTTGTAATAGCAAAAACCTAGAAACAAAGCTGAATGTCCACCAATAGGAGAATGATTGAATAAACTCTCGTATCCCATAAAATGGTCTACTAGCTTAGTTTCGAAAAGGAAAAAGGAAAATCTCTATGGATTTCTGTGATGTGACTGCCAAGATGCACTGTTAAGTGAAAAAATCAAGTGCAGAAGAGCCAGCTACTTTCTGGATAAGAAAGAGGGGTAAATACATACACATATTTGCTTTTGCATAAAACAAGGAAAGATAAGGCAAAAACTAATAATAATGGTTATATAGAGAGTAAGAGAAACAAGAAACAAACTCCATTCCTTATTTTATAATTTTGACTTAAGAACTAAACAAGTTTTGTAAAACTAGATAAAACACAAAATTACTTTAAAAGATAGTATTTTAATTTTATATTCTTAACCTGATATAATCTGACAGTAATTATGTTATTAAAAACCAAGATTCCTTTTTTAGCATAAGAGAAAAGAATACAAACATAAAGTATAAGTTGTTATGCAAACCAAATCTGAAACAAATCTCAGAATAAATTTTCACTAAAGAAAATAAAGCACCTTGGAGAAATTGTTGATTCCAGGGCCAGTTAAGAGAAAGCAGAAGCTGAACCCGGGTTATTTTGCATTGCCAGAAAGCAAGGATATTGTCAGAGACTGGGGTCAGGACAGAGGAACTAACTCGAAGGAGCTGTCACTGGTCAGAGATGGGACAATGTGGACATTAAAAAGAATAATTCGCAGGTTCAGACATTTGGTGTATATGCTTGGCTGAGGGGCCAATGGGGTGAAGTTACCATCTGTGGGATTATGACTGAATGCCTCTACGTCAGAATCCTGCCTGAACTGAACTATACGGCTGCGCCATGGAGCCTCGGTTGGCCTCGGATAGCTGGTCCCCTGCCATTCCTGCTGGCAGGATGCCCCCTGCCGTGCGTTGGAGCCGGTCTGGCACAGAAAGCCCCTCGTCCCAGGACATGGGGTGCGACCGGAAAGGCGGCCACCCTCTTGCTGGTCAGGCCCGTTCATGGGGGAACCTGGTGCTAAGCCATTGTAGATGACCTGCTTCTAGGTCAGGGTTTTGGACACAGCAGAGCAGCTCCCTTGCTGCAATCTATTAAAAGTCAGACCTCAGTCGGGCTCTGTGGCTCAGCCTGTAATCCTGCACCTTTGGGAGGCTGAGGTGAGTGGATTACCTGAGTCCATGGGTTCAAGACTTGCCTGGGCAGTGAGACATCATCTCGACAATAAATCAAAAAATCAGCCGGGCATGGTAGCGCATGCCTGTAATTCCGGCTACTTGGAAGGCTGAGGCGGAAGGATCGCAGGAGCTCAGCTTAGCAGGTCGAGGCTGCGGTGGCCGGGAGCGGCCACTGCACTCCAGTCTGGGCGACAGAGTGAGACTCCAACTCAAAAAAAAAAAAAAAAAAAAAGTCCGACCTCGACACAAGGGTTTGAATTTAAAAAAAAAAAAAAGTAAAATAAAACAAACAAACAAACAAAAGAATAATTAAGAACTAAGAAGCACAATTAACTAAACTACTTTCACCAATTTGCCAATACTTTACTTTTCTGATGAGATCAATGGTGATATTAAGAAATGTGATTCCGTGATGGATTAAGATAACAATTTTTCTAATTTCTGCTTAAGATCTAGAATTTTACCAATGGTCACAATAATCTTCACTACTGAGAAAATATCCACTATATACCTAATTTTGAATAATTACAGTTTATGTCAGACATTTTTCAAGTAAACATGATGCTCTGGGGGGAAAAAGTGGCTACTGTGCCTGTCCGTGATGCAAGTGCTTTTCCTGAGACAAGCGTCACATCCTGCTATGTAGCAAGAGCACTTTATGCAGTTTCCATTTTGTCACACTGAACACCGAAAAGATGTTTTCAAGGGTGAAATTTTGATAAATAATCTTGACTGTTTTAACAAAGACCTTTTCAGGCTAAAATAGCATTTCTTAAAAATGTGAGTACCTGGTGGGGAAGAAAATAATGATTATAAGCTGTTGTGCCACCAGCCTGATTCGTGCAATGGCACAATTTGCTTTTGTTCTGTTGGTGCAAATTCAACATGGTGAAAAGAGCCAATCGGCTGACCTACACAGGTTAGGACTGTGCAGGTCCACTTATTTGTATTTTTTTTCTGTCTCCGCTACCCTTGAGACACCAAGACCAACTCTTCTTCCTCTTCCTTCTCAGTCTACTCCAGGTAAAGACCACAAGGATGAAGAACTTATGACGACCTACTTCTACTTAATAAATAACAAACATATTTTCTATTCTTTATGAGTTTAATATTATCTTTCTCCAGCTTACTTTTATTGTAAGAAGTCAGTAGATAATATATTCAATATACAAAACACGTACTAATTGACTATATTGTTAGTAAGGCTTCTGGTCAACGGTAGGGTATTAGTAGTCAAGTTTTGGGGGAGGTAAAAGTCACACATGAATTTGTGACTGTGCAAGGCTTGGTGCCCCTGACCTCATACTGTTCAAGGGTCACTGTACTGCCCAGTGTTGTTCTGAGAGATTTGGCCTTGCAGACCCTCTAAAGACACAGGGAACTGTGAAGCCACTTTTAAGATCTGTTGGTCTAGAAGACACTTATTAAACAGTAAATATAGGAGGGGATATTCCAAAAAAGCCCCAGATTTACTTATTAAAAATTGTGTATTTATTCTTTTGTCTTTAAACTACAGTCACCTTCAAAGTGCTCTCCATTTGATGCGATACACCTATTGAGAAGCGTTTCCATTGTTCAAAACAGTTTTTACATTTGTCAATTCTGATGTCTTTCAGTGCTTCTGCCATTTTTTGTTTCACCTCCTCCACATTGGCAAAACATTTCCCTTTGGACTTTTCTCATCCAGGGAAACAAAACAAAGTTGCTCAGGGTAAGATGGAGTGAACAGGGAGGACAGGGCATGAGGGTCATGCTACTTTTGGTCAAAAACTGATGAATACTCAACTGCAGTGTGAGTAGGTACGCTCATAAATCATCTATCATGAAGTGGGCAAATGCAATGGAAGAATCTCCAAAAAAAAAAATTCACTGAAGCTGAGCACAGCCGCTCACAACAATGCTAGCTAGCTGTACACTGATGCTGACGTGTTCTTAGAACATTTACCGGGGAAGCCTATACTACAAGGGGCCCACCCTCCAAAAGATAATTTGAGCATCCCTCATATAGGTTACAGTTAACTTGCACATTTGATAATATGCTTGAAAAAATTAAAGAGCTACATGAAACCCCTCTCTGGTTTTTCTCCACTGTTAAGAGGCTGAAGGAGGTGGAACAGATATGCTTAGTAAACTCCAACTAAAATTATCTAAAACAAATCTGATTTATAAAATTACAAACATAGCTGGGCTCAGTGGCTTAGCCTGTAATCCCATGCCTTTGGGAGGCTGAGGAGAGTGGATTGCCTGAGCCCGCGGGTTCGAGACCCGCCTGGACAACTTAGCAAGACCTCATCTCTACAGTAAATCAAAAGCTAGCCGGGTGTGGTAGCGAGCGCCTGTAGTTCCAGCTACCTGGAAGGCTGAGGCGGAGGGATCGCCGGAGCCCAGCAGGTAGAGGCTGCGGTGGCTGGGAGTGGCCACTGCTCTTCAGTCTGGGCGACAGACTGAGACGCCAACTCAAAAAAAAAAAAAAAAAAAAAAAAAAAAAAGCCGGGCTTGGTGGCTCAGCCTGTAATCCTGCACCTTTGGGAGGCTGAGGTGAGTGGATTGCCTGAGCCCGCGGGTTCAAGACCCGCCTGGGCAGGCGAGACCTCATCTCTACAATAAATCAAAAAAATTAGCTGGGCGTGGTAGCATGCACCTATAGTTCCAGCTACTTGGAAGGCTGAGGCGGAAGGATCGCCAGAGCACAGCAGGTGAAGGCTGCGGTGGCCGGAAGTGGCCACTGCACTTCAGTCTGGGCGACAGTGAGACTCCAACTCAAAAAAAAAAAAAAATTACAAACATCAGTCAGTATCATAACAAAATCTAGTAATGTTTTCTTTCAAAAATTTTGTCACTTACTCATATTAGTCACTTTAAAGGGAAATCTTTTCTATCTTTTTTTGAGTCACTCTGTCACCTGGACTAGAATGCGGTGGCCTGATCATGGCTCACCGCAGCTTCAAATTCCAGGACTGAAGGGATCCATTCTCCTCAGCTTCTTGAGCTGACTACAGGTGTGCGCCACCAAGTCTGGTTTTGAAAACACCACCAACAAAAAAACGGAAATCTTGAAAGATAGTTTTGTACTAAGTCCTAATAGTTAGCAAACCAGAATCCCAGAAACATACTCCAAGACCAGAGCACATCATCCTACCTCTGCCATCTCCTTGATTTTCTGCTCGTAGAACTCCTGCTCTTGCTGCACAGCTGGAAGGAGGGCACGTCGGTCGTAAGATCTACAATGTCGTCGCTTATTCTCCAGAAAGAACATCCTCTTTTCTATTTTTATGTCACCTAAAAGATAGATGACCATGCAAAATCATGCAGACAACTGTTAGTTAGGAATCCAGGTCAGCAACTTCATCTTCTGTGGCTTAGTCCCACACCTACTCTCTGGTAGGACAATTCATGATTTCTAACATATTCTGCCATTTGAGAAAACTGGATTCCTTGCCATTCCCCAATCTACTGTGTACTTTTTGTCCTTTTTGATTTTTCCTCCCTGGTTATGCTCCAAGTGGAGAAACTCTCTTATCCTGTCAGTATTGTACTGTACAATATACAACAACCTACTCATTTTACTACTGAGGATATTTATTTGGATTTATTGTTCTGGGTTACCATGAATAAGGCTGCTTATAATTACTGATGAATGCATGCCCACAATTCAGTTGGGAATTGCTGGATCATGAGACAGGCTATTTTCAGCTTTAGAAAACAATGCCAGTTTTCCAAAGTGGCTGTATCAAATCCTCCCTCTACCAGCATTGCTGTCTATGAGTTCCATCATTTCACATTCTTACTAACACATGGTATAATCAGTTTTTAATGTTAGTCATTCTTGTAGGTGCAAATGTCTTGTATTTTAAGCTTTTAAGTTCTGAGTATCTTCAAATAAACAAATAGCTGAAAAAGTGATACTTAAGTTTCACCATAATAACATTAGAATAAAAGATAACAGAGTGCCAAATGACAAATACCGGATATATAATATGTCAGTTTCTTCTGATTTAGTAATTTATGTTTTTCAATAAAACCCTATTCCATACAGGGTTTCTTGGTAATCTCTTTTGCTTTTAAAAATATGTTCTATATCTGGTTCCTGATACATTTTATTTTTATTATTTTCTTTAGTTCACTCTCACTAGGCTTTTAAAAATTAAAGCTTTTTATTCAGGAAACCAGTTTTTGGTACTCTGAAAGTAGCAAAGCACAGTGTTAAGAGAGTAGACATAAAAGTCAGATTCCCAGCTTACCTACTACTAGGTTTATAACATTTAGCAAGTTATTTAACCTCTCTGTGCTTTAAAATGTGTGTCTGTAAAATGACAATAGTGACACAAATATCCCATACGGTTGTGTGAACTATAAATGAATTAATTCAAATAAGGCACTTAGCAAAGTGTCTGGTACATAATAAGTGCTCAATAAATGTTAATTACCATCTCCACTTAAAGTTTCTAAAATTATTTTTTACCCTTTATTATTTCTTCCTTTGTCTTTACTCAGTTCTTATAATTTACCAAGTTAAAGAATGCCTTTCTTTATTTTTGAAATAATGCAATGAAGTCTACAGATTTCACTCTAACTTCTTTTTCTGCATGAGTTTTAATATGTAGTATTTTTTAAAACTTGAATTTTGAATTAACTGAAGACTCACCTGCAGTTGTAAGAAATAGTCTGTGTATTCTGTACTTAGTTTCTCCCAAAGGTAACATCTATCAAAACTATAGTACATCATAATAGTAATAATATTTCTTTTAGGGATAATGAAAGCATCCTAAAATTAATTGTGGTGACTGCACAAGTGCATATATGATAAAAAATATGTGGATTATATCTTGACAAGGCTATTATATAATAAATATTTATTTATTTTAAATAGGAAAAAAATCTATTTGTGGGAGTCTGTCTCTGGGTTTCTATTCTGTTGCATTGATCTAAATGTCTGTCTTTCTACCAATACCACACAGTCTTGATTACCATATCTACAAAATAGATCTTAATCAGGTAGACTTAGTCTTCCTGCTTTATTCTTCTTTGGCAAAATTGTTTTAGCTCTTCTAATGCCTTGTTTTTCCAAACATTTTAGGATAAACACACCCATACCTAAAAATTCTTGCTGGCATTTTGAAGGGAAGTGTAATAAAAGTATATACCAATTTGGGGACAACTGATATCTTTACAATGCTGAGTCTTCCATGCACAAACATAGTGCATCTATATCTGGTTCCTGATACATTTTTATTTTTATTATATTTAGTTCATTCTCACTAGGTTTTTAGTACTTGAATTTCAAACACAGTGCATCTCTCCGTTTATTTAGTACTTGAATTCATCAGTTTTCTGTAGTTTTATCATATAAATCCTGTACAAGTTTTGTTAGACTTACATCTTAGTATTTTTTGGAGACGTTATAAATGGCTCTATACTTAATATTTTGGTTTCCACATGCTCACTGCTAGTGTATGGAAATGCAATGGTTTACTGCACATAGATCTTATACAGTAGTCCCCTTTGTCCACAGGGGATACAGTCCAAGACCCCCAGGAGATGCCTCAAATCATGAATAGTACTGAACCCGAAACTATGTAAGTTTAACTGATAAATTATGCACAGTAAAATATCAGCAACAATAAGAACTGCTATTAACAAAGTATTATAAAGTAAAACAAGAGTTACTTGAACATAAGCATAATACTGCAGTTATTGATATCCATCGATCTGATATGCAAGATGGCTACTAAGTGACTAACAGATGGATAGTTTATATAGTGTGGACATTGGACAAAGGGATGATATTCATGTCCTGGGCCAGGCAGCATGAGATTTCATCACATCACTCAAAACAGTGTGCAAATTAAAATTTATGAATTGTTTACTTCTGAAAATTTCCACTAATATTTTCGGACCGCATTTGACCTCAGGTAACTGAAACCACAGAAAGTGAAACCATGCATAAGTGGGGACTACAATGTCCTAGAACGTTGCTGAATTCACTTATTAATTCTACAATTTTGGGGGATACATTCCTTGAAGTTTTCCATGCAAACAATCGCATCATCTGCATAAAGGAATAGTTTTAATTCTTCCTTTCAGGTCTGTAGCTTTTATTTCCTTTTCTTGATTTCACTGGCTAGAACTCCCAACAGTATGTTAAATAGCAATGAATAAAGGATACCCTTGCCGTGGTCACAATCTTAGGGGGAAAGGATTCACCATTCAGGATGATGTAAGCTGTTCTTTTTTTTTTTTTGAGTTGGAGTCTCACTCCACCACCCAGGCTGGAGTGCAGTGGCACACTCACTGCCACCCAAGTGCTGACCTACTTGGCTCTGGGAATCCTTCCGCCTCAGCTTTCCAAGTAGTCATAACTACAGGCGTGAGCTACCACGATCAGCTAATTTTTTGATTTTTATTGTAGAGACAAGGTATCGCCAAGTTGCGCGGGGTTGGTCTCGAACCTGCAGGCTCAGGCAATTCACTCACCTCGGTCTCCCAAAGTGCTGGGATTACAGGCTGAGCCACCGAGCCTGGCCTAGCTGTTTTCTTTTCTTTTTTGAGTTGGAGTCTCACTCTGTCACTCAGACAGGAATGCAGTGGCCGCTCCCGGCCACTGCAGCCTCAACCTGCTGGGCTCCGGCGATCCTTCCGCTCAACCTTCCAAGTAGCCAGAACTACAGGCACGTGCTACCATGACTGGCTAATTTTTCATTTATTGCAGAGACAAGGTCTCACACCAAGTTGCCCAGGTGGGTCTTGAACCCGCGGGCTCAGGCAATCTACTCACCTCGGCCTCCTAAAGCGCTGGGATTACAGGCTGAGCCACCGAGCCCGGCCTAGCTGTTTTCTTATAGACATAATCAAGCTGAGGAGGCAACCCTCAATTCCTAAATTTCTGAGTTTTAACCATGAATGAGTATTGTTAAATGATTTTTCTGCATCTATCAATAGGGTCATGTGAATTTTTTCCTTTGGTCTGTTAATATGGTGGATTATACTGATTAATTTTCAAATACTGAACCGATTTTGCATATCTGAAATGACCCCACTTGATCATGGCATGTAATTTTTTTGTGTATCATTGGGTTTATTTGCTGCTGTTTTGTTAAAAGATTTATGCACCTATATTTATGAGGGATATTGTTCTGTAACTTTCTTTTTGTACTGTCTTTGCCTAGTTTTGTTATTTACTGCAACACTGGCTTCATAAAATGACTTGGGAAGTGTTTACTACTCTTCTATTTTCTGGAAGAGCTTGCACAGAATTGGTATTAATTCTTTAAACATTTGGCAGAAATCTTCAGTGAAACATCTAGGGCTGAGAATTCTTTTGGGAGATTTAAAGTTACTGATTCAATTACCATAACAGCTACAGGGTTATCTACCTTATATGGGTAAATTTTGATTATTTGTGTTTTACAAGCAGTTGGCTCAATTCGTCTAAGCTGTCAAATTTATATGTGTAAAGTTGTCCATAGCATTTCCCTTTGGATGTCTGCAGGTCTATAGTAATAACCCTACCAGAAGGAATAACTCCTGATATTGGTAATTTACATCTTCTCTTTCTCTTGGTCAGCCTTGCTAGCAGTAGGTAATATGTTTTTTTGCTTTGTTTAGTTTTTTTTTTTTTGAGTTGGAGTCTCACTCAGTCGACCAGACTGGAGTGCAGTGGTCACTCCCAGCCACCACAGCCTTGACCTGCTGAGCTCCGGCGATCCTTCCGCCTCAGCCTTCCAAGTAGTTGGAACTACAGGTGCACGCTACCACACCCGGCTAATTTTTTTGATTTAATGTAGAGGTGAGGTCCTGCCAAGTTGTCCAGGTGGGTCTCGAACCTGCGGGCTCAGGCAATTCACTCACCTTGGCCTCCCAAAGCGCGGGATTACAGGCTGAGCCACTGAGCCCAGTGTGTTTAGCTTTTTTAAGTTGGAGTCTTACTCTGTTGCCCAGGCTGGAGTGCAGTGGCATGTTCACAGCCACTGCAGCCTTGACCTTGAGCTAAGGTGATACTTCTGTTTTAGCCTCCCAAGTAGCTGGAACTACAGGTGTTACCACACCTGGCTAATTTTTAGATTTATTGTAGTGATGAGGTCTTGCCAAGTTGCCCAGGCTGCTCTCAGGCAATCTCACCTCGGCCTCCCAAAGTGCTGGGTTTACAGGTATGGTCAACATGTTTTATTTTTATTGATGCTCGTTTTATTTTTTTATTTTTTTGAGTTGGGTCTTACTCTGTTGCCCAGATTGAAGTGCAGCGGCATGCTCCCGGCCACTGCAGCCTCAACCTGCTGGGCCCAGGCGAACCTTCTGCCTCAGCTTTTCAAGTAGTTGGAACTATAGGTGCGCGCTACCACACCCAGCTAATTTTTGATTTATTGTAGAAACGAGGTCTCGTCAAGTTGCCCAGGCTAGTCTCGAACCTGTGGGCTAGGCAATCCAAAGTGCTGGGATTACAGGCTGAGCCACCGAGCCTGGCCGATGCTCATTTTAAATCCAAATTCTAACCAGACTCTTCATGAGAAGGCTGTGCAATGGTCATTAGATAAGACAATAAAAAGGACAAAGAAGGTAGAATCTGTCTCAATCTTTGAGCCAAGCAATGCATAGCCTAGATGGAAAGCAAGATGAAAAGAAGAAAAATAGAATTCCTGGAAAAAAATGAGGGGTTCTTAGCTTGTGTGCTTATAAAAAGTTGTTAAGAAAGTCTAAGTGTGAGTCATAAACATTAAACTGTGAACATAAATCAAGTGTAATTTTTAATTCATACTTCCAGGGCCCTTTAAAGATGGCCTAATATACTATTTAAGAATCAATATAGAAATAAAGGTATAAAGCCGGGCTCGGTGGCTCAGCCTGTAATCCCGCGCCTTTGGGAGGCTGAGGTGAGTGGATTGCCTGAGC